TACCATCATTCAAATTAAAAAGCATGAACATAAATGCTTTTTCATTTCCACGATATAGCTGCATTTTCTGCCTCATGAGTAAAACGATTAATGATGAATCCAAACTGCGCTTTAACTTTCTTTGCAGTATTTCGTTGCCCAACCTTATTGCCCCAGGGACTTCTGAGAGTGCGAACCGAGAGACAACTGTTGAACAAACACACGCGCGCAGGCACACAGCATTGTAATGCCCAGCTAAAACAAACAAACAAAAGCATGGTTAAACAGACGAACTGCAAAAAAAAGAAAACAAGTAGGGGAAAAAAGGATCTCTATAGATCCTTTTAGTCTGTTGAGTTTGTATCGTTGTGAGACTGTTTAATTTATTACATTAAAGTGGTTTCTAATACAGAAGATGTTATATTTAGAACATTATTTTTATTCTATTTAAGGATTTTAAAGGAGGGGTATCATTTTGTTACTGATTGTTACAGATTGTGTTTTGCTACCGAAGTTACTTTGGTTCCATTGTATAATAAAAGTGTGTTCATGAACACCTGAGAAGCCTGTTTGAATCCGTGTGGAGCCTAAGTGTCCTCTTTTTTGGAAATTCAAATTTGGTCACCCATGAGGCAGCAGCTGGTCTTTATTTAGATTTTTATCTATGAAAAAAAGATTTATGGGGCCCTGGGTGTGTGAGACTAAACCAGAGTAGATCAAGAGTACAAAAATGACTTTGATAAGGTCCCAAACAATATATCTGACAAAAACCTCTCTCTGGCTGGATCCCCTCAGGCCAAACCCCCTCAGACCGGACCCCCTAAGACTGGACCCCCTCAGACCAGACCCCCTCAGACCGGACCCCCTCATACTGGACCCCTTCAGACCGGACCCCCTAAGACTGGACCCCCTCAGGCCGGAGGGGGTATAGAGTTTTAGTGTTTGCAAGATTAAATTTAACCATTTTTAAATTAATGTGTATATTGCCATGAAGCAATTACAAAAATGCATGTTTATTGCAACATTTTTGTATTTGGAAACATTTTTATTGCAGTTTTTAAGCTGTATTTGGGGGTTGAGACGATTTTCTTGCGGGGGGTGAGCACATATGGGATCTTCCTATTGGTGACGTAATCAAAATGCGGTCAGGGGAGGCAGAGCCTCATCTGTCATCATCATAAGAAAATAATGCTGACATAAAATGAATATTATTATGTTTCCACTGATCTTTATGTATGACTAATTGCGAACATTTTAATTATCCAAATCACTGAAATTGCCTATTTTTGTTGAAATACAGGGTGAAACGTGAGGTGCGGCAGCAACAAGCCGAGCCTCTGATTGTGCAATCCATCTGGGCTGATACATGCAGATATATTAGTGTGTGTGTGTGTGTGTGTGTGTGTGTCTGTCAATGGGTGAATAAGATGCATTAACTTAAAGCTCGTTGTAGAAAGGCGCTTTATGAAGTTCAGTTCGTTTTCTTTGATTAGTTTACGGGCAGTTCTGCCACATCCAAGATGGCGGACGCGCTGACCTATCGCAGCCCCTGACCAACAGATTGGTCTCTAGTCTCTCTATAGATGTGACGGTAAAGATCCGAAGCGCTGAACTTTCTGCCATGTCTCCACCGACATTTCGAAGAAACCTTCTCCATTTTGTCATCCCATCTGTGTCTTTTTAAGGA